ATCAATAGACAATCAGTACGTGGAAATTGATATTACTAATATTGATATAATGGAACAAGTATCTACAAAGGATCAAATGTCAATAGACAATCAAAACGTTGAAATTGATATTACTAATATTAATAAAATGTTAACAAAAGTTAATCTTTCTGCAAGTAAAAAATATCAAATATTACTTGTCGAAGATAATGATGATATGCGGTAATATATATTTTCTTATTCATTATATTAGATATTTGATAAATATTATTTACCGTATTTATAGTGATTATCTGTCAGATCTGTTAAAAGAATTTGACATACATCGTGCTCGAAGCGGCAAAGATGCTTTAAGAGTCTTGAAAAGACTTAATAAATTACCTGATTTAATCCTTAGCGGCAAGTAATTTATACAATAATAATGGGTTAATTTATTACATATAATAATTGTATAATATAAATAATATGAATTTAATAGATATCATGATGCCAAATATGAATGGATACGAATTATTAAATGCATTAAGATCTAACGAAAAAACTCAAACGATCCCTGTAATATTATTATCCGCAAAAGCTTGTGAAGATTCTAGTGTCCAAGGTAATTAAAAACCATTAAATTCTTAATGCTATATTATAATTATATTATTATTTATTTATTTTTTTGTATCTATTTTATAGGTCTGGATGAAGGAGCAGATGACTATTTAACAAAACCATTTTCTGCTCAAGACCTAATTACTCGTATCCGCACTAATATTAATCTTTCACTTCTTCGTCGTAAAATAATATTTCAACGATGCAAACAAGAAAAAATAAAGCAATTACTATTTTTAATATCAGAAAAGGTTGCTTCCGAATTAGATCTAGATGAAGCATTGCAATACATTGCAAAAGGACTCTATCAAATATTACCATGTGAAAGAATATTAATTGTTTCAAATAAACAATTTGAATCCAAGAGTAATAGAATAGTTGCCTTATTTGAAGACTTGGAAAGTATAACTAATTCATCCTCAGAGATTGATGATAACTATGAAAGTGAATCACAAACGTTCAATGATATACAAGAATTTTTAAAGAATAATTCAGGGATAGTTATTTCTTTAGATATATATTGTGATGACATTCATAAGAATGCATCGATATTATCTGCAGAAATAAAGTTAAATAATGATATCTGGGGTTGGATAAAAGCGTATAGACCTTTAAATTCCATTTGGCTCGTTTCTGAAATAGAATTATTACAACAGATATCAAACCAAATAAGTTTAGCTGTTACTCATACCAATTTATTAAAAGAGAATACCGAAAAGGAGATTCAAATAAAAGCTGCTGAAGCTGCAAACAATATCAAGAGTCAAATATTAGCAAATACTTCTCATGGTATATTATT